GCTTATATTATTACTTCCTGGAAATTCTACTGTCTGATCAATAGTTTTTACAAAGCCTTCACAAGAAGACAGATCTTTAGTGGTTCTGAGCACCCTTGCTCCCACTGATTTCAATAGGAGTTGCAGGTGCTTGGCCAATCAAGAATCAGGCCATAGATCAAAACTGATTTGCTAAACATTACAAAAATGGCAAATAAAACCCCTACATCCTGGTTAATGGTTGAGATTCCCCAAAATATGCAACGCAGAATGAAAGTCTGGAGTGTTTACATGAGTATGCAGCAGTTTTAGCATACCTTCTACGTGCTGAATAGCCTTCATTCCAATGTAAGCATGTAAAAGGCCAAAAGATCATCCTTGTGACCCAGGGGATGCAGCTCAGCCATCAGTTATGGTAACTGTCTGTGTTTCATCCATACTTAAAAATATAGGGTGACGTCCTAGCCCCATTGCAATCAATGGTAAAACTCCCATAGACTTCAATCATTCAAATGCCCCAATCATTCAAAAACCATGGGACAGGCTTAAAATCATGAGATTTTAAAAAATAAATATATTTGGGATTCTTTTTATTTCCTCTTTGAGCCTTTAGGATACACTCAGGTCACATTTTCAAGCTTTTCTTTGCAAACATGAGAGCTAGAAACATACTTCCTTTTTTTTAATGAAAACTTAGATTCCAGGAATTGGGGGTTTAAAAAGAACACTGAATTTTGCAAGGCTTGTGATAAAATTGTTGGAACTGGCAACTCTGTGAAATTTTTGCTTTTGCCTAAAAATGAATGTCCTTTTGTATCTTGCCTCACAATAGACACAAAGAGTCAAATTCTGGCCTGGAATGGGGGTTGCAAGGGCTACAGGTCAGTACAGACCCTGGCATGCAGATGTGTGATAAACATACACCTTTTAATACATGGCGGAAAACTTCTGCCCTAACTTATATCATGGTCTACTCCACTGAAATGGCGGCAGAACTTGACCCAATACATTATCTATTGTAGAGTATCTGTGTCTATGGATTCAGAGTAACAGCCGTGTTAGTCTGTATTTGCAAAAAGAAAAGGAGTACTTGTGGCACCTTAGAGACTAACCAATTTATTTGAGCATGAGCTTTCGTGAGCTACAGCTCACTTCATCGGATGCATACCGTGGCAGTTTCCACGGTATGCATCCGATGAAGTGAGCTGTAGCTCACGAAAGCTCATGCTCAAATAAATTGGTTAGTCTCTAAGGTGCCACAAGTACTCCTTTTCTTTTTGTGTCTATGGAAGGTGTCCCTAAACTCTGACTGCCAGAAGCTGGGACTAGATGAAAGGAGATTTATCACTCAATAAATTGCCCTGTTCTGTTCAATCCTTCTGAAGCTTCCGGCACTGGCCACTGTCAGAAGACAGGATACTGGGAAAGATGGATCATTGGTCTGACCCAGTATGGCCATTCTTATGCTCTTACTTTCCATTCCTTATAGAAAAACTGTAAGGAAATTTAAATGGAAATAAAAGTTTAAGGGAGAGTAAAAACTTCACATAAATGGCTCTTTTCTGTAACCAATGGAAAAAGATTTCTCCATATAAACTTCTCTTCAAATTAATACACAGACTGAAAAATTTACAAGGTCATAATCTTGTAATCAATGAATTTATTGCAGAAGACAATCTAATCCCACATATAAAATAAGAATATTTTACAGTTAAAGAATGCATGCTTTCTGCTGGAAAAGTGCAGCTGCATAATGGGATACAATGTTGAAATTTAATCTAAAACTGTGAAGAAAAACGAGACTTTGTGTGGCTGGTGCTGATTAATAATTTTAAATTATAAGCTTTGTAAGCACCTTAAAATAGATTAGATGAATTATGATGCAACACAGGGGGTTGAACTAAGCTTGATCCTTTAATACTTATTTTTAAATTACAAAACAGATCTGACTGTTTAAAAGATTTTATGTGCTTAGCCTGCAAGTAAAAGGCAATTAAAACCGAAATGTTTTGTAAACATATACAGACACTGACCTCCTTTTTCTTCTCTCCTTCCTTTTGTTTCCTCTCTCTCCCCCACAGACTCCAAGCATTAGACTTTGTCAAATTCAACTTTGATTACAGAGGAAGTCCGCTTCATACCATAAAATCTACATACCCTTTCTGATTTTATAGTATTTTCTATATATAGCATTGCTGCTATTTTACATTTATTTGACACTTTTCAGATCACCAAATACATACAACAATACTGAAATGCCAGAGGGGTCATTGCAAAATAGTGTAGGCTGGCACGCAGGAAGGAAAGTGCAACAGGATATCTAGTATCTGATACATGCGGCATAAAGAACTTCTGTTTTTAAGGCTGAGGGTTTTTTTTAAAAAAAAGTGAGGCTGAGAAGGAAGCAGTCTTCGTCAGAAAAAGAGATGGAGAAGTCAGGACAGTATAGTGGGAGGATGGATAGGCTTGTAGTTAGAGCTCCTGACTGGGACTCAGAAGATCTGGGTCCAATGAGACATGGTTACAGACTTCCTACATGATTTTGTACATGTTACTTATCTTCTCAGCATCTCATCTGTAAAACTGGTATAATATGTTCCTTCTTTCCAGAGATATTATGAGACCAACTCCATAAACACTTGAGAAGTATTCAAATGCTATGGTGATGAGTGCTATATAAATACTTAAATATATAAAAAAGTAGAGGGATGGGGGGAGAACATAGAATGGTCCATATCAGATTATCATCATGGGAAGGCAAGAGAGTTTACAAAGAAACAGGGATGCTGGAACAATTTGTTTAGTGGGGGTGCTGTGAACTACTGAACCAAACCATGAACATTATAGATGATGGAAACCCCTTCAAGCCAGGGGTTGCAGTAGGACCTACAGCACCCCTAGTTCTAGCATCTATGCACAGAAGATTTTCATCTTCAAAAGCTACAAGTTTCTAATTTGATGAAAACAATTCCCCTAGTTTTTCTGATATCTTATATGAGCAGGAAATTATTTCCAATAGATGGCAATGGTACACATTTGCAAATTCATCCCAAGTAGAGTTGTGCAAACCCCTGTGCTTCATCTCATACAAAACATTTTTTCCGGTTTTGCTTTGATGGGGTTTATACCTCCTGAATGTTTGAGTCTGGGGTTTGAATGGACCAAAAGCACAACTCAGCCCAATTCACAGTTTTACCTGATTTCAGATGTAAATTATGTAAACCAATTATTTGTGCATATGTCACCTATAACCACAAATCAGCCCACATGCACTCACGAAATTTGTCTCACCTGGCCAAAGTTTTGAATTTATAATGAAGCATAAAACTAAATTACCATCTTGGGGTTTGTTCCAAAGTTTCACACAGCTCTAATTAAAAGGGGCCAATACTGGGGCATAAAAAAGAGTGGCAGATCTTTATATAGATACAGATATGAGCTACATGGATATATGGCAGGGGTGACCAAACTGTAGCCAGGGCCAGCTCTAGGCACCAGCTAAGTAAGCTGGTGCCTGGGGCGGCGCTGCTGAAGGGGCGGCACTCCGGCTGTTCTTGGGATGGCACTGTGGCAGCAGCCCTGGCAGCAATTCGGTGGCGACTCTTCTGACTCGGCTCTCGCTGTTAGTGGCATTTTCGGCAGCAGCTCCCTCCGATGTTCCTGTTCTCTCCGGCAGTGGCGTATTTGGCAGGTTTGAGGTTTGTTTTTGTTTTTTGGCTGTTTGGGGCGGCAAAAAAAGTGGAGCCGGCCCTGACTGTAGCTCACAAGCTACATAATGTTAAAGTAGGATCAAGCCCCAATTTTTGGCCCAGACCCCTAAATGGCCCTAAATTGGGGCTTGATAATGTTAAAGTGTGGCTCGTGAAGCTCCCCACCCCATCTCCACCTACCAGAATGGGGTGGTGGAGTAGGAGCTTCTGCCCAGTGTGGAGGGGGGTCCAGAGCTCTCTCAGGCACCTCCTGCAGGGCTAAAGACCTGAGCCCTGCCAGGTGCGCCCCAGCCCTCGAACTTCTGAAGATTGTCATATGCAGCTCAGAGGGTCTGTGAGTTTGGCCACCCTGATACACGGTGCAGAAAGGTGTTTCTACCACCTTGGAATCCAGGTACTAAATAAAATAAAGAACACTGCAGAAACAGGCCTGTCTGAATTAACTTCCTCCCCTCGCCTTTCCAGTTTGAGACCCTACACCTGCTCCAAACCCCAGGGGCATATGGCCCCAGAACTGGCCAGTATCAGATTCTTCAGAGGAAAGCTGAAAACTTTCTTGCCCAGGAGGAGGTTCCAGAATTTCTTTCTCTACCCCCCCCCCCCCAATAGGATCAGCAGATGAACTGAACCAGGATTTGCAAAAAAAAAAAATATGGACTAACAGGGCTGTTACTCTGAACCAGGATTTTGTGCCCCGCTCTAGAACTAAGGTGCTTGGGGCAGGGGGTGCCACCGCAGCGCAGGCTGCACACTCCGGAGTGCGATCCCAGCCTTCCTGAAGGCCCGGCCAGCGAGGCTGGTCCGGCTAGAGCAGGGGAAGGGGTGAGAGCAGCAGAGCTCCCCGGACTGTGCTGCGCTCTCCTCCGCCAGGCTGGGAGGAAATGAAAAGCGGGAGCAGGGGAGGAGAAGCGCCTGCCCCGGCTCTCCCAGGAACTGGGGTTTCACTTCTCTGCCGGCCTCTACATTGCACCATTCGCTGCAGTAGAAGCAGCTTCCGCGGCTCAGCGCGCAGCAGCCGCCGGGGCCCCAGCCTCGCTCGCTCTGTCCCTTGGCGCCCGGCACCTGGCCGAGGGGAGCGGCTCTGAACTCCGCACCTCCGTGCGGCGGGCACAGCAGCTGAATCACCGCCACTGACTCATCCCCCCAGCCCGCCCCGTCTGCTCCGCGCGCCGCCCGGCCCAGACCCCGGTACTCGGCGGGGGCGGTGCAGGGCTATAAATAGGGTCAACCCCGCCTCCTTGGCAGACTTCGCTCAGACAGCAGCAGCAGCAGCCGCCGCCACAGCGACCACCACGTTACAGGTACCTGCCTCGCCTCGCCTCGCCCCGCCCGCCCGGGCCGGATCCCCGCTACTTTCCCCGCTGCCGAGGATGGCGAGCGCTTTGGCTGCCTTAGCAGCAGCCCGTGGCCGGGCGCTGCTCCTGGGCGCGCTGCTCTCCCAGCTGGGCCCCTGCTCAGGTGAGTGCCACTTCCCCCGGGCTGCTTGCCCAGCGCCACCAGGTGCCTTCGCGCCTCACCTGGTCGGGGCTGCCTGCTAGGCTGGCACGGGTCCCATGTCCCTGGATGGAGCTGCCTCTCTGCGGCTTGTTCCGCCGCGGAGGACCAGGGGCGCACGCAGAGATACGTGGGGGAAGTGCTGCTTCCTCCGGGGGTGTTGTAAAGACTGGGGGACAGTGTCCGGCGTGGAGCCTGGGGAGGCCGACGGAGAAGTGAAGTTGCATGAGGGATTTCGAGGATAAAACAACCCAGGAACCCTCCCCGGGGGAGCGTCCCGTGTGGCGCAAGATGCCGTGGCTGGTTTGGTGGTTTGCTCGGTGGCCAGAAACCCCATACAACTTTTCTGTAGCTAAAAGGGCAAGAGTTACTTCGTTGTGTCGGAATTCCCCGAGATCTAAGTTGTCTTGCCTCCTGTGGTGGGGATGGCAGGGGTGTTTGGTGGGAGTTACCTACTTGGGGCCGGATGCTGCAAGTGGACCCCATGCCTCCAGGAAGCACCAGTGAAATCAACAGGGCTCTGCTGAAATCTGCCAGCGGAGCCCATGAGCGCAGTAGGGTTTGCCCATTCCCCTTTCCAGGAATGCCCCGTATTTTTTGTCTCCCTTTTTAATACAAAGTTGGCTTTTCAAAGTTAAGATTCAGCTTTACAGGTGTTCATGGGTACGTTAGAGAGTGATCTTTTATGTTAACGTATTTTAAATGCGGTAAGGTGAAGGCACTTAAACTTATTAATAATTATGTGCTTACCGACCAACATTTTACTTAAAAAGAAGAAAAGGAGACTAACAAATTTAGTTGAGCATAAGCTTTTGAGCTACAGCTCACTTCATCGGATACATCCGATGAAGTGAGCTGTAGCTCAGGAAAGCTTATGCTCAAATAAATTGGTTAGTCTCTAAGGTGCCACAAGTACTCCTTTTCTTTTTGCAAATACAGACTAACACGGCTACTGCTCTGAAACCTGTCATTTTTCTTAGAATTATTTACTTCCTTTTCAATATCGCCAGTTTGGACAGCTCTAATTTTTGGCTATATGTTAAAAAAAACATATCAATTAGGTAATATTCATATGAGCAAACAGATTATAAAAAAAATTCTAAAACAATTACTTCTATTTGATTGTGGTTGTGTGGAATGTATGACACTTTAATGCACTACTCCCGTGGTTTGGCTAGTGTTGTATGTTTTTTACATACTTCTAGTTCTTTAAGGTGAATTTAGACTTCATTAATTTTGTGATTGGAAATGGTTGAAAATTAAGAACTTAATACTAGAGTAAACAATAATACAATATACATGCACTTATTTATTTTTCTTTATGCACAGAACACTATAAAAATGTTTACATAAGCATAACTATTTAACTGATTAGACACTTTTATAGAATGAAATTGTGCATTTATTTTGGTATGCAATTTGCTTGTCTGTGTGCTTTTTAAAAGAAGAAAAATGCAAATATATGCAATTACTATGGCTGAGAATTCACCTGAATAAAAATCAGGAAACTGTTATTGGATTCCACAGTAACTATAACTACAGATGAATTTTACCTGTACTGCACATGGTATATATGAATGTCAAATACGATGCAAAATCTCACATTTCCTTCAAGTCTTTGCAAATTCATTATAAAATGCTTGTGTTGGTTTAAACAGCAGAAGGAAACACTAGAAGCAAGAACAATTCTGAACTGTTCCTAGATGAATCAAATGGTCTTTCTGCGCATTTGATTTGGTGGCCAGGGGAAACAACTATGCTGAATTACAAAAGATTCAGGTCACCGAGGGGAAGAAGAGGAACTGGAGGAACTTTCTTCCAACATTCAGCATTAAAAAGGAATTTCCCATGGCAGAAGTAAAACGAGTGTGATTTCTGTGAATTTTTTCTCTCAAACAGAATTTTACTATAATCACAGATACTTTCTTATAGAAACCTCACTTCTGCTAAATAGGGAATATAATAAATCTAGAGCACTACACAGTGTGACTCATCACAACTTTTTTTTTTGTCTCCTAAAGGTAATTCAGAACTGTCAACAGCAGTTAATATAACTTGGTCATCAATCAATTTCAAAACAATACTACAGTGGCAACCCGAGCCAACCAACTATGTCTATACAGTAGAAATATCTGGGTGAGTAAATCTAATTGTAGGTATGAGTGCCTGGTGTACCCCTGCCCTTCTCTCTGTGCTCACTAGATGGTAGTGAATATCAATTTTAAAAAGACATTTGTGATTGAGGCAGAAAAAAGTGTAGTCATGGTAGAATGTTTGAATATCTTGAATCTGTGAATGTAATGCAGAGTCCAAATATGAGAACTTTTAGGAAAGTTATGATCTCTATTTTGAGTTTTGGTTGCTTCCAAGTGCAGGTGTACCTGATTCCAGGCTTGTTCTAGAAATAAAATGTATGGATCTAGATCCTGGCTCTGCAGTTTCAGTTTAGGCCACCCGGTACTGGAAAACTTGGCCCAAAATATTTTGCACCAGTTTACAATCCCCTTCACGAAGACGGTGTAGAATTTGATCTACATTTAAAACAAACCACCAGAGTTTTTATCTGTCAAAACAATTCCCTCTTTTTAATGTTGAGAGAATTTGCAGAGATATCATAGATATGACTAATTTTATTCTAATTTAATGATTAATGCATTAGTTAAGTGGATCAGTATTACTTAGTCTAGTTGGGTAAACTTAAAAAATGACAGGTTTCAGAGTAGCAGTTGTGTTAGTCTGTATTCGCAAAAAGAAAAGGAGGACTTGTGGCACCTTAGAGACTAACCAATTTATTTGAGCATAAGCTTTCGTGAGCTACAGCTCACTTCAGTAGCTCACTTCATCGGATGCATTCAGTGGAAAATATAGTGGGGAGATTTATATACATAGAGAACATGAAACAATGGGTGTTACCATACACACTGTAACCAGAGTGATCACTTAAGGTGAGCTATTACCAGCAGGAGTTGGGGGGAATCTTTTGTAGTGATAATCAAGGTGGGCCATTTCCAGCAAACCCCCCTCCCCCCCCCCCCTTGCTGGTAATAGCTCACCTTAAGTGATCACTCTGGGTACAGTGCGTATGGTAACACCCATTGTTTCATGTTCTCTGTGTATATAGATCCCCCCACTATATTTTCCACTGAATGCATCCGATGAAGTGAGCTGTAGTTCACGAAAGCTTATGCTCAAATAAATGTTAGCCTCTAAGGTGCCACAAGTACTCCTTTTCTTTTTCTTAAAAAATGACCTCTTCATCTAACTTCCTAGACTTACTCTAATTCATGGCTTATAAAATTAATGTTAGACTTTTTCAAAACACTGGGCTAATAAAATCCAAGCCCATATTAAGTGCATAATTTTATTTTTTATTACAAAACTCTGACGAATATGAAATGTTCACTGTGCATACAGTCTATGAATTAACATAAAAACAATGACTGAACATGCCTCAAAGAGAAACTGCATTATAAACCGTCTGCACACTTTTGGAAAACATTGTACTGTAATAGTTTCTGGCATGTTCCAGTGTCTACAACTGGAGGCTAAATTTCATGAGTAATGGGTGAAATACCCAATAACACTTGTGAATTTTTTCTCTGTGCACAGGGGGTAGGGTTAAATGTACTTTGTCATGTTCCTTACACAGCCTTTTAAAAATTAATATAAAAGCAAATGTTTAAGCAGAATGGCATAATTCAGGTTTCAGAGTAGCAGCCGTGTTAGTCTGCATTCGCAAAAAGAAAAGGAGTACTTGTGGCACCTTAGAGACTAACCAATTTATTTGAGCATAAGCTTTCGTGAGCTACAGCTCATGCTCAAATAAATTGGTTAGTCTCTAAGGTGCCACAAGTACTCCTTTTCTTTTGGCATAATTCAGTGGTTTTCAACCTGTGGTCCATGGAACCTGGGGGTCCGCAGACTGTCTTAAGATTTCCAAAGGGGTTCACGCTTCAGTTTGAAATTCATTAAGTGACCACAAATGAAAGGTTGACAATCACTGGTATAATGCAACCAAGGGCCCAAGCCTACAGACACAAATGGACATAGGCCCCAATCCTGCACTGTGATCCAGGCACGTTTAGTGTTGCACCCACACTGAGCCCCATCTATCTCAATGGTACCCCATGTGAGTACAGCAGTCTGCTCACCTGACTTGCTGTGTAAGATCCAGATATTATGGAGTTAAGCATTAAGCACTTTAAAAAATTCCACTAGATATTATTTTTCATCTTTAGGTGCCTAAATCTAGTCCTTTTACTTTTATTTGGCTCTCGTGTAGGGCCAAATTCTCTTAGTATGTAATATAACTGAACTGAATCTGACTGTTTGTGCAAGTAAGGTAGGCAGGATTTGGTCCTAATTCAAGAATGTGTGTCTCATATTTTCTTGCATGTAGTTTCACAGGCAGAAGTGTCTGAAATACAATTAGTTTCAATTAATGATTCACAAGAAAGCTTTTTAGCTGATTTAAACTTCCAAAAAGATAGAAACTTTGAGAGAACTACTAAACAATGTAAGTTTAAGTAACCTTTGTTACTTGCAAGGAATATACGTCAGGTGGGTGTGGCCTATATAGTTAGTTTTTAAACTGAAGACGTGTACAATGAGATTTGTAAATAAGTATTGTAGATCTCCAAGCTGTGCTAATATGGACATAACTATTCTTAGCACAAGCACTGTTTTGGTTTATTTTTAAACCTTGGAGCCTTAATTTTTTTTACAAATTATATACATCAATTAAGGGTCCAAAGATTTCAAAAACACAGTGCCTGTGCTAAGAATAATTGTAGGGCATTCTGTTTCAACTAGGACTTCGTTTGTGGGCATTTTTAAAAGGTTACTGTGCACAGGAGAGGTGGATTTTTTGTTTTTGTTTTCTGTGGGCAGAGGACAGGAGGTGGTTGGCATGTCCCCTTTAAAGATACACAAACTTTAAAAGTTTGTCTTTTTTGCTTCCTTATTGTGGATTTAAAACGCCCCCTGCAAAGATGGGTTGTTTGTGGTTTTGTTTTTTGTTTTTGTTTTTTTTTTCTTCCCCTTTATGAAGATCAGGTATTATCCTCCCTGTCTTTCCTGGAGGACTCTGTAAACCACTTTGAAACTAATAGAATTATGACATCACAAGAAACTGAAATCTGAGCAAACTCCTATTTAATTAAAAATTCTGAAAAACATGTGGATGAAAATCCCTTTGTTAACATACACTCAACACTTCTGCCATTTCAGCTGAACTACATGAGAGCCCTCACACTTGTCCTTTGATTCTCCAGCAAAAACAAAGGAGGCCAGATTTAATATTTCTGCTTTTAATTAATTTTTTTGCTTCCTTTTTATATTAGGAAGAAAAAAGGGACAAACACACTTTTTTTCCCTGATTGCAAATCTTTAAAAAATCTGCTTGTTTTAATTTATGAAAAATACATGAATTGCACCCCTCTTTGCCATTTAGACACCCAGAGAAGTTTGTCATTTTTTTTGCAGTTGATTACTTAATGTATCTGAACTGAAGTTTTTGTTCCTGTATGACTAGTACTGATTATGTTATTACATGGTTTTAATTATGCCCATACCCATATGCAGAATACTGTATCTAGCAAACAAGTGACAACATTCACTAGATTAGTTAATTGTCTCTTTTTTATAACTATGTATAGTGTCCATATCTGATCCCCCTCCTCCACATTCGCAGAAGTGCATTCAAGATAGTTAGAGGTACTTTAGGACATATCTGGAAATGTATTATTGCTTTTGAGTAACATTTTCAAAGGCTCTAAGTAACTTAAGAGCCTAAGTCCCATTGTCTTTAGTCACTGAGGCATTTGTGAACATTTTACCTCTTTCTATATAGATGGGGGAGGGAGGGAATGACCAGTGTCAAAATTATTCAGAGTGACAATTTCCTGTTAAATTTACAGACATGAAAATATATGGTTTCAGAGTAGCAGCCGTGTTAGTCTGTATTCTCAAAGAAAAGTAGTACTTGTGGCACCTTAGAGACTAACCAATTTATTTGAGCATAAGTGTTCATGATGAAGTGAGCTGTAGCTCACGAACGCTCATGCTCAAATAAATTTGTTAGTCTCTAAGGTGCCACAAGTACTACTTTTCTTTTTATGAAAATATGTTATCAAATCAGTGCATACCATGAAGAAAACATCTTTCCTTAATTATATATTGCTTCACTGGGAGTTAAATTTTAGTTGCGTGGTTCAGCTTTTTAAACCGTGAATCAAGCATGTTTGCATAGTATGGATTTTTCCACTCATCTTCACAGACTGGTTTACAGGTACAAGCATGATGTAGTCAGAAGACATTGTAAAAATTCTGGACTTTGACGATTACTGAAAACCATTTTATCCCAGGCATTGTATACCTTATGCATGAATGTATGCATGTGAATGAAACTATATTCAGAAAGCGTTATATCAATACTTCATTCTTGGTTCCTTTCAGAATCAACTCAAACTGGGAAAAAGTGTGCGTCCACACAAAAGAAACAGAGTGTGACGTTACTGACAAACTGGAGAAGGTAAAAGACACCTATACTGCACACATAGTGTCTGAAATGCTTTCAGGGACAGAAAAGTTTGAGGAGCCGTCCTACGCAATCGCCCCAAAATTCACACCTTACAATCAGAGTAAGTAGGATTGCCTAGTAATAGTCTGTTACATCACATCACCCCCATTAATTCAATAGGGCTTGAATTGAGCCTAGAGTTTTTCTGTTTAGGTTCTTGCTCTTGTGGTGTTTGACCACCTTTTAGCAGTAGCTGAAATCTTTCCCACTGCGGGGGACTTCATAACCTCATGCACCACTTCACTTAAATCCTGTATTAACAGTGGTGTCTAGAGCTTCGTGTGAGCCCCATGCACTGGGTTGAAATTTTATTAATATGCATTGACTGTGCCAGTCACTGTGTTACATGTGTTTAAACCTGGTAAAGTAGAGAGATTGTGTGTGTGTGTGTGGGGGGGGGGGGGGGTGTTTTGTTTTGTTTTGAGGTGGTAGTGGAGAATGTTGTGTGAAAAGGATATTTTGCCAATAAAGTTTTTCCTATGCCTTGAATTAATTCTAAAAATGTTTTTGTGTGTGCATTAGCTACAATTGGGAGACCAGAGATTCAAACTTATGAACTAACTGACTCCAAGCTGAAAGTGTTGGTTGAAGATCCACTTACACCATACAGATTTACCAATAAAAGCTTTAAAAGTATCAGAGAGATTTTTAAAAATGACCTGGAATATACACTCTATTATTGGAAAGATCAAAGTACAGGAAAGGTAAGCCCTTATTTTCAACTTCCTATACCTCTAATTTTGTATGTTTTATAGTTACAAAACTTCTATGCTATTAAGAGCTAAAACTTTTATAAAGAATGTCTTGAAAGTGTCTTTTTTTTCCCCTTTATACATAGAAAGAGGCAACAACAAAAAGTAATCAATTTGAAATAAGCATTGACAAAGGGAAGAACTACTGCTTTTATGTACAGGCAATTATTCTCTCTCGCAGAGAGAACCGCAAAAGTCAAGAGAGCAAGATGAATTGTACCAGCCATGAGAGAAATGTTTTGGATGGTAAGTATCTGGTGAAACAAGTAAATAGACTATTTTTCTTGCTATCTCTTGCATTCCAACAAAAAAATTTCCCTCTCATATAGAAAACCCATGAGAAGAAATCTCCCATGAGGTAATCATCACTGAGATTTCTACCATATCACAAAATTGCCATTGACTACAGTGGGAGCAGAGTTAGGCCAACACTGAGTGCTTTTGAACATTCCACCTTTGTCCACCATCCACAATTACCCGTTCACTTAAAAAAAATGTTTTTCCTCTTTGCAGGGCCTGCATTGATGACTTTTCACTGAGATTTCAAATTGCCTCATCAATGGGCCTATATTTTTCTTGTTTCCCTTTTCTTCCCTTTGATAAATACTAGTTTACATATAATGAAATTTTTCCCAACTAGTGACCCAGTAGTGAGTGCTTGCATGATGAAGCCTTTAGATATGCGTGCCAGCAAACTATGTAAGACTTAACGGTCAGTAGGAGCTGTGCATATATTTGAATGAGGCTAACTCCTGCTTTTTTCCTGTGCTCTAGTCCATTTTCTCAAGTGCAGGTGATCCTTTAAGGTTTACTGTCCTTCAAATTGTAGTGCCCATAATCCTAACTGTTTTCCCCAAATTGTGTACATTAAAAATGTGTCCAACCAGGCAAATATATAAGCTCTTTATCAAACAATGAAGAGGTCAGTGAGGGAATGGTGCTGGGAAGGAGACTTATCCATTGTGCCCTTTGATAGTCGTTGCTTTGTGGGGACTGTTTTTGGGTTTGTGTATGTGTGTAGGGCTGATTTGTTGTTGTTGTGGGTTTTTTTTTTTGTTTAAAGCATTATCCTTCATTGGTATCAAGACAAATAATTTACTGAAAACATACCAGGTTTTAAATCAGTGCTCTCAGCTCTACCTTATGCTCCCTCTTCTTTCCCTATTGGGAAAGAATCTGTGCATTTTATATTAATAAGCAGAAACCTTTTCTCCCAAAACCTCATTGTCCTCTCTCCACCATCCAAAAATTAAAACATTCCCTCAATATAGAATTTTCAATGTGATATCATAAAATATTTGAGTTCAGTAAACTTTGTCCAAACTGTTTTTGTTAGTTTAAAACCCTAGAATAAGTTTCTGTTAGTATACAAAACTTTTGCACAAGCATGACATTTATGGCTATAACTGAGGGCCTGATCCTTTGAGGTGCAGAGTCCCTCATAGGAAGGGACTGGCTTCAAGGGGACCTGAATGGTCTTTGCACCTCCTGGGAGGTATTCAATGTTTTTGTAGGACTGGGACCCATGTTAGTCATGACGTTAAGGTAAAGCAAATTACTACTATATAGAAAATCTGTATGCACTGATGAGCTATTAATTCTTTGTTTGCTTTTTCTCCTCCCCAACCAGAGTATGGAACCGAAGTGTTTATTATCATAGCAGCTGCAGCCATTGTAATCCTTATTATAATCATTGGCTTGTCTGTGACCCTGTATAAATGCAAGAAAACAAAAGCTGCAAAGGAAAAAGAAACCATGCCACTTAATGATATTTAGGAAAAACACAAGAAGTGCCTTTTGTTACTATTTCAAATGCTGCTGCATTCCCAGACAGAAAAGCTTATGGTACTTGAAGGGAAAAAACTGCTGTCTCTAAATATTATTAGCCTTTACTTAAGTGTAAAGGAACACTTCCCGTTTCTGTGAAACATTTTGTTTTTTTTATATTTTAAAGCAAAAAACACTACTATTGTTTTAATTTTAACAATGTTAAACTGATGAAATGTTAGCTCACAAATATGAAAATACTACTATTCCTTCTGCACTTCATGGAGAAGTCAATTTTAAATTGGTTATTCTGTATATCAGTTGATATAAGTTATCAAAACTAAATGACTGTGTCTATATGACATCCTAACAACTTCACTTGTGAGGAAGTGAGAGTACCATATCAAAAACTAACATTCAAAACCATAATACAACAGATCCAAACTTCTAACAATCAATATAGAGACAGAATTGCCTGTCTAAACTGTAAAATATACTTTAGGCAACTCCAGGTGCTAAACTGAGTACTTTGCAATTCATTTGAATCAATAGGTAACTAATTTCCTGCACATACTCAATAGGAAGAAGAATTTAGCACTTATATTTTATACTGATGATTAAACACTTGAGAGATCACTATTTTATTTTTATAATGGGATGTCTATATAAATGAACTACTTGGGTGATGTGATTTAGAGGTACCTCATACTACTACAGTTTCTAATATATTTATGATTTTTATAAATGGGAATTTTTATATTGGTGATATTTGTATATATTGTGTTAACTTATTTAATATAATTTCTTACTGAAATAAAGGTGAATGGAAAAACAAGACTCATTATTGCAGAGCAATGTTTATTCTAGAAATACATGTTTAACTTTATCTAAGAAATATGTGGAGCAGAGCTTGGCCTCTTTTAGAAACTTGGGCCCCAGATTATTGCTTTGTAAAACAGAACACCCAGTTAGCTACCCCGTAGAGGGGGGGAAAACACCATGTAAGAAGACACAACTCTTGAACTAGACAAAGTCATGAAGTGTCCTAGGTTGCTCTTACTTTTGTACTAATTCCTGAGTAATCCCACTTCATATGTTACTAGTGTAGCCTGGCTTGCTGTATCATCTCTAGAGATTTTAAAAATATATACTGTAGTTATGTTTGACAGCTGCAGAGCACTAATCTCAAAGCATTTTAACTGCTCTAAGGAACAGTCCTATTGAATTTATTAGGGAATGAATACCATCTTGAAGAATTTTTATACCAATCTATAGTAGGCATGTCCCATTCCATTACATTCTATAAACATTCAGAGCAATTTATATAGAATTCTATTAGTATAATCTCTCTATTGCATTATACAGGATTTGCTATAAGAGAAGGTAAAGTACTGTAAATAGCTGTATGTCTGTTCTACAGATTAGGTAGCTGAGTCCCTGAGATGTTTCATAACTGGGCTAACAGCCCAGTGGAGCATAACAGATGTCCATAACAGCAACCTAGTGGAGCCAGGAATAAAACGCAGTTTTCCTAGCTCTGACTCCTGTACTCTATCCCAGTGGTGCGCAAACTAGGGGGCATATATAATCAGCATTCACCGCTCAAATGGTTTGCAGAACAGCGTATCTTCCACAATTTCATCCTCCTAGGAATACCTGCCAAACACAGTGAGTTGATCCAAATTCTTTTCTTGACACTTTTTATGGCATCATACTCTCTGTGCACTGCTAATTAGATTGACTTGAAGGTCACACCAGGAAGGTGGAGGGGAGAAACAGAGATGAGACTATTCATTCAGTTTAGTGTTAGAGCATCTGACTCACTTGAGAGGTCCTGGGCTCTGAACTCTATTATATATGTTGCTGGTTTATTGCCTTGCCTTAGATGCCTTAAAATTAATGAGAATCAAAATTAATTTTAAAGGCATAGTAGGCCTATTGTAGTTATGAAACTTACCAAATTGTTGAAAATAAGCCAGCCTGTGCTTTTATTTGTATGTTTGTTTTTTAAAAGGGCAAAAGGCCAAAGGTTCTTCATACCGCCCCCCCCCCCCAAAGTGACCCACCAGTTTGCACACCAGTGGTGTAGACAAAGCCTGAGGCAATCATCAGTGGAGGAGGGTGGAGAATATCAGATCCCTAAATGCATCTTCAAGGTGTGCAGGGAGGACTAGAAGACAAGGGAGATCACTGATGTGTTGGGCAGGGAATGTAAAAAGAGTAGGAGTCCCTGAACCACAAAGGCCTGTGTTACCACACACCTGGCACACCTCTAGCCAGCCCTAACATTGCACCATTTTTAATCAGAAAAATTACCTAGAGAATCCTGCAGGAAGGATAGGGACACATCCATTTTGCTTACTCTCCTTCAGATATCACTGGTCTCCCTCTCTTCTGTATATATTTCCTTAGGCAATTAGTAATGCAACAAGGTCTTTATTATGATGCCCACTAATGTCTCAGGTTTATTAAAATAATTTTTGGTTTTAAATCCTCTCAATATTATGTTCTAGCATTATGTGTGATCATTTAAGAAAGAGGAATTCAATATTTCTATACAACAGAGAAACAAACTTGCATACTACCTTAATGACAACATGTACTTGAATTAAGTTCTAAATATAATCAGTGTAACATATCACACTAAAGTCTACTGAAACTTTATAGTATTTCCTTTTCTGTGTCACACATTGTTCTCCCTGGTACTAGTTAATGAAGGATGGAGTTCTGCCAGGCAAGTCCTAGACTAAAAGACTACATGCAGCATATATTAATGTGATTATTGAAAACATACAGACTTTTGTGTTACTATCCATAGCAGTCTTCATTAAAGCAAGACCCTGTAAAGACATAAGCTAGGTACAACAATAACCAAGCAAAATACAAATTTTACTTCTAGTATAGCAAACTCAGCTCTTTGTAGTGGGAAAGTATGCTGCTGAGAGGCATGAAATGAAATGTGATTATGAGCTTAACTTGGATCACTACTCATATGACAATTCTGGACAAAGAGCTTATGGCATTGCATAAGTGACAAACTGTGAAAGAGATTACATGCCTGCATTTTTGTAATGCTCATTATTGTTTATACTGGTAGTAAATACTGCACAATTCCAGCACCTTGAAACACAGGAGACTATTACAATTGTACCAAAGAAAATTTATAGCGGATTAAAATAGGCAGAGTGCCTCAGCGTGCTCTCACTTGTTCCTGCACAACTCCACGGCTTTCAAGGGGCTTGTCTGGGTGTACAGTATCAGAAATTAGAATTTGGAACATAGTCTTCAGTTTAATCAGTGTGGGTAGTTATGTACATGCAAGTAGTCTCTCATGCCTGGGTGCCTCATTGAATTCACTAGAAGAGGGTGTGTGTGTGAGAAAGTGAGGTATGATGGAGCAGATCCAGAAAAAGGTGTTGAACTCACTGAATTTTATTTCCCATAATTAGATGAATCAACATTTGCCTGTTCACATCTGCCTACTCCTTATAACTAGTTCAGCATACTCACCTTCTTAATGAATAGCAGACAGCTGTGCAGAAAGGAATCATATCCTTTCCTTATTTGTGATTTATTGTGTGCACTTATATGGAATGTGAAACTGTACAAAAGGCCAAAATATAATAAAAGAAAAAGCCTTGTACAGAGCAGGATGCTATGCATTTCTCTCCACATCACTGGTGGGGGCGGGGCATCTTCAAGCCTAATGAGGACCCCCGCTTCTCCCTAGTCGAGCTCCATTTTGAAATTGCCAGAAATTCTCCCTTCAGTCCACAGAGTGCAATTCAGTGTCTCTCAATGGGACACTCTCTGCATCCCCAGTGCTCCTCTAACTGAAATATGTCATGGCTAGGTTAGGCAGAGATGTGAGCCCTTCACAGCTCCTCCTCCTGCTTGGCTGGAAGCCAATGAAAAGTCCCCATCCTCTTTCAATATGATCATACCACATTTTCATTTAATCAGCCCTTGGATCAGCACAATTAAGATATTATCAGCATTTTCCAGCTCTCCATAGCTTCTCCTGGCTGCCAAAATTAAACATACACAAATAATGGCAAACTAACCCTAATTTTCCTTAGACTAAACCTTAATAATCACATTTTCAATAGGGTTTATTTTGGTGCTCTGATTTTTTTTAAGACCCTTCTTTAGCACACACTACAGAATTTTAATATGATGATTATTTCTAATGAGTTGTTAACTAGAGCTGAAGTCACCAATCTAAACCCAGGAGGACTTGCTTTTCCAGTTCTTATTTACCCTTGGCGATGTAAATTTTCTGCTTGTATTTTTTAAAATACTCAATCATATTACACAGTGAAATATTTAAACCACAAATTTACTTGAACATTAGTCATTTTATGAAGAGAATCTGTGCTCACTTTTGCACAAAATTATTTCACCAACAGATCAATTAAATTAAAACCCTTCTTCATCTGGGTGGAAAAATTAATATTTTCCATTGAGATTGCATAAAAGTTGTTTATTTCATTCATTCCTCCAAAAGTAAATCATAGTGCCAGAACTAATTTCACAATGACTCTAGCAGGATTTAACTTACTTCAATACAGCGTACTGTAATTAAGCAATATCAGATAAAGCCTATGAGAGCTTTTTAAAACATATTAACAAAATATATAATTAATTTAACTGAATAGCTTTTAATTCAATGTGGTGGTGTCCTGCATGCTTTATTCACTGTTCAGATCACATCACAGACACTTTTGTTGCAACAAAAATGGCAGTGGATTTGGTTTCTTGCCCTTCCATTTTATTCTCAGTTCATTTGTTTCCGCATAACATCAAAAATACAGCCAGCTCCCCTCCTTGTGAGGCTGCTTTAGTCAGCCACTTCGGTAACATAGCCATAGATAATATTACATACAAAGGGCCTAATTCTTCACTGTTTTGCTCTTGGTGTAATCCAATAGGAACAGTAGCATTTCTCACACACACACACTCACTTTGCACTCCATGAGCAATTTATATCATGTTAATCCCAGGACTGAGTGATTGGTATAGGAGCTCATTCCCAGTCCGAGTCTTCCAACTAGTCTGCATAATCTGCTTTTCTAATTTGTTTGAGCATTCTGAGTCTCAGTATGCACATTTTATCTCAGGATCTAACTTTAAGTATGACCGGAAACAAGGCTACATTAACGTTCCTTGGATGGGTAGTATGGTTATCTACCCTTTGCCTGCAAGATGGGGCTGATGCCTGGAAAAAAGCATATTAAATTCTGTTTGCAAACAAATTCTTTTGATCTTCTGCATGCTTGTAAAATACAGTAATTGTTCCTAATGCCAGAAAATCTTGCCACAATATTACCATTAACATATTGGACTTTTCTCTCTCTTTGGTGTATTGTAAGGATGCTTCACATAAAGCAAATGGAGCGCTGTCCTTCCTGTTTTAACTCATGGAGAATGGATTCTGAAGTTTCAAAAAGTGGTTGAGATCCTCCAACATCCCTAAGTACTGTCACATTCTTTGCTACAAAGTCTGCAGTGCATGGAAAGTTCACTTGCTTTTTTTTTTTTTTCCCCAGATCAGAGTTCACAGCATTTGTCTTGCTTCATCAACAAAAGTTCCAACTTCAGTCCTTTGTACTTCCTGTTTATGTTCACCTCTTCTACAGTTACCATACTACCCTTCTAAAAATATGCTAGAGTGTTTGACCTTAATCACACAGTAGTAGCAATATAAGCAATAATGTTTTGAACTGTGATAATGTGCCATCTCCTCAGCAACAGGAGAGAAAACTAAAGGATGTGTGGGGCATAACAGGTACTTTCTAGCTGGAAGAGAGAAAGATGCAGCTCTGTGCAAGTGGCCA